AACATTTTCTCAGCCTGAATTTGAAAAGGGGATCATCCCTTTGTTTATATTTAAAAAAAAAACAAAGTCACTTTGTATAATTGATCCTGTATCTCTAATATGTGTCCCACTGCTGGTCCTGTCCTCAAATGACTCAAGATCAGATTTAAATTGTTACAGTTTCTCTAATCTGCCACAGTATAAAAATACAAGCTTGAAAGTAGGAACCCCAAGATTTAATAATTTAAGAAATTTTAATGTTTCAAGGGCGTATCTGTTGACAGTGTCATGACAAAGGTTTTATTTTCATAAAACATTTGTAGCATGAGTTCTTCATCCTTATAAAAACTTTACAAGTCCTTAAAAGGAAAGAGATGCTCTATCTTTAAGTGTCAGCTGCTAAGTCAGACTCTCGTGATGTTTCGTCATTATTTCTTTTTTTAAAAAACAGGAAGGAAAATAATTTCTGCATATTTGCTGATATCTTGTGCTCTCTCCAATCTGTTTATTTCTCAGATTCCCGCTAGCCTCCAGTACTTCTACCATCCGACACCGGTGTGGTCCCAGTACAAGAAGGGGGCTCCGGTGTTCCTCACCACAGTGTGTGCGTCCCCCGCGCCGCCTCCTCCACCACAGCAAGTTTTTGGTTACTACATCGTACCACAGCCGTCTCCACAATTCCTTCTTCCTCAGGCCGCCCTGCAGCCGTGGGGAGCAGTGAAGGGTTAGAGCATCCGTGGACCCGGGGAGGGACGGGGAAGCCTTTAACTGAGCCATTTAGTGACGAGTCTTTTGGGCTACATTTGGGCCAAAAAGAGTGATGTTTTTTAAAATTGTCATTTCTAAAGCTACTTCTTGCACAATCTTTAACTTTTCTGCTGACTTGTAGTTTTTTTTTTCATAGACAGCGCAACAATGCCATGAATTTAGCTAAAATTTTTAATCTCCTAGTGTCTCTGCACTTGTTTTTTTTTTTTTTGTTTGTCTTTTTATGTACTGTATTTATTAGAACGACTTCAACCACTGGGTGACTGGACCAACTCAGGAACTCTCAGCAATATTCTTTATGCCAAAAGAAGTTATTTTGTAATAATCATGAACATAGTTTTCTGTGCACAAATTACTGCTAACCTCTGTAAAGTACAATTCAACTACAGCAAGAATATCTGTATATTAAGATAATTATTTTTTACTGAACAGGTTGTATATATTTAACAATGCCTATCCATGCTTTCTGAACTTTCTATTTGTTGTAATTTATTTGACCACCAATAGATGGTGCTCAAGTGGCATCAAGTTTAATTGTTTTTTTATTTTTGTAATGAAACGGAGCATCTATATATTGGAAATTCACAAAACATCTTACTCCCCTTTTAAATGATGGTAAATAATCCTTGTTATGATCACCGCCGCTGTATAAAAAATGCATTCAAATCCATGCTTTCCTCACCAATTCTGTGATTTGGAAGAATATTTATTCACTATTTTGACAGTTTTAAGCTTGTGAGTTTGGTTTATTTGTACCATTTGCAGTGAACCTTTACCTCTTTTACAGCAAATTAAACTCATTTTTACTCTACTGTTCAGCCTGTGGCTCTTCTTCCTCGTGTGAATGTTTCCTGTATGAAGGCGTTGTGTTTTCTTCCTCCAGTATTTTGCAAGGAGACACCTGTTGGTTTGAACTCGACTGTAACTCATCCTGTGTTGTAGACGTTTTCATCAGAAGCAGGATGCTGCAGGGGAAAGATCCTGTGTGTTTGGCGTGTCAAGCCAAGGCCATGACGTTATTCTTGTCTTTGTGCTGCAAATAAATATGACTACATCAATAGATAAACGGATATATTTCTGGATTATTCTACAAGTAAATAATGAAAGTTCAAGTAATTGGCAATTTTCATTATGAAACTATTCTGTTTCCATTAGAGAACAAACATTATACAGATTTGCTGTGCACACCAGACTGTTTCCTATTGGGTTTTATGTCTGCCTTAAATATATCTTTTCTCACTTCTGCTTTCATTTTTTCTTCTCTTCTCACTTCTCCTTTTCTCTGATCTACTCCTTTCTTATTGAGCAGTCTGGATGGCCTAAAACAAAGATATGTTTTTTTGTCCAACATTACTGAAACAACATTTGAAGTTGTAAGGTTATAACGCAGGTTCATTATTTGAAATGTTGTGAAACTGTTGTGCTGCAGTTTATTCTGTTTTTTTGATGACTTTATAGATTAAAAATTGAGAAGGTGTACGATCTGGATGTCTTTTTTTGGGGGTATCTTATCTTCTCTGAATAAGTAATGGTTATTAACTGATTTTAATTAACTTTGATTTGTAATTATCAAGTAACAACTATGTCTATGTTATCTAGCCAACAAGATATAGTTTTACCTAATTTAACTGAGTAAGTAGTTGTTGAATATATATATAAATATGAGATAAATTTTACCCAATTTCTTTAAGTATTTCATATATTTTTTGTTAACTTATTTTATACTCAATATATGGAATTGAATCTGCACTGTAAAAATAATTAGGGTGATTAACTTAAAAACTTGAGTTCAATTGCTGCCTTAAAAAAACAAGTTAATGCAATTTGATATGTTTTTTTCAAACTTATGATGGCAATTATGGTATCTAATTTATTGTTTAGATATGACACCATAAGTTGAAATGACTAACTATAGAACATTATTCATTCTCAAAACATTGAGTACTTCATATTCTATTTGAATTCAAATAATTAAGTTATACCTCTTGTCTAACTAATGACTACTTATTGTATGAACTTCATACTCTGAGTTTAAACAACTTGCAAAGTTACATTATCCATTCAAAAAAAACTTGTTTTATTTTGTCAATGTAACAAATGATTACATATACTTTCAACTCTCATGTTAAAGTTAAATTGACTAATTTTATTCACAGCGATTCCCTTTTTGAGTTCATTTAACTCAAGAGTTTAAGGGAGCAATTGAACTTAACATTGCAAGTTAAGTAACTAACATTTCCAAATATAGTTCACTTTCTCCACTAATAATGCAAAGTTCACCAGTTTCCTAAAAATAATTACACCAAATAAACTAACATTTCAAATATTGTACATTTATTTTTCTATATCAAATATGAGAAAACATTTGTCCAAGACAAGCAGAAGTGTTGACATTTATTGGCGATCCAAAACTGACAAAAACAGAAATAAATTTTTTGACAAATAAAAAATATAATTTTTATATAAAGCTCAATGAAGTAAATGCACTTAAAAGGCACCAATTCAGAACTTTAACTAATGTTTTATTAACTTCATTGACCATCTATAATGTCCATATTTATTTTTCCACCTTAATTCCAACAAATTATAGATTTTAGCACAATTTACAGTTTGTTTTAAAATTTTTGTTTTCCCCCTTTACTTGCAGATTCATTTATGACTCTCAAATGTTTATTTTTATCCTTTTTTCCAGGAGTTGCTTTTACATGTCTCATGTTTTTACTTTACCTTATGCATTTCTGCTTTATTATGCAAATAAGGTGGGCAGTGACGTTTATCTAATGTCAGCCAGCTGTGGGGACCATCTTAAGGGGGGCTGTCCTTCTTGGGTAAGTTCAACTATTGGTCAACAGATCTGCACATGGATTCTGCTCCTTCCTGTCTGTTGACCAATAGTGGAAGAGCTGACCCAAGAAAGACATAAAACAGAGATATGAGGATACACACACACACACACACACACACACGAACACACACACACACACACACACACACACTTAAGACATGAATGCATCTACAAATAAGTCAATGGTTTCCTTCACAGACAATCAGGAGACCAACCTGCATCCCCTTCATGGCATCATCCAGAATATCAGCATCAGCCTTAAAAAGAAGAAAGAAATAATGACATTTGTGTGCAAGTAAAGAATGTAAATACCCTTGTATCTTTATACTGCAAGTTTTTATACTATTGTGATGTTTAACAATCAGCATGTTTTGACACTTGTGGGGTAATATGATGCACTTCTGTTCAGTCGGTGAATGACCTGACACACACTCCCACTTTGTCAAAGCATAGAGCATAATGGCAATGAAACAGGCCACTGTTGTGGATGAGGCCAACATCTAGAAACATTAGACGTTGAAAATAAGCCCCACCTGAAAAAAAGCCAGTTTATGTGTACATCATATTCAACATATTTTCAGCACTTTACTTTGTAGTCCTCATTTTTGACAAACTTTTTTCATCCACAGAACTTGTATTTTCATGCATGAGCACAGTGTATGGCAGATTAAAAACCACCATTGTGAAGCGCTGAAATTATTCCAAAAAATGTAGGACACTAGCAGTGTTTCCATTTTAATGCATTTTTTAAAATAATCAAATTCTTAAAATGTCAAAAGAAATGAAAGAAAATGTGAATCAGGCATGTTTCCATCAATATGTACACTGATAAATAATTACTGTAAAATGAGAAAAAAAAAAACTAATCGAGAGTATAACTTTTAACAGTGTACCCCAAAAGGGTCAATGCAAATTGTTACCTCAGCTTTATTAGGTAAATTCTGTAGATTAGTTTTTACAGTGTGGTGCTTCTCAAATTGATGCTCCGTTTGCCTAAACGGTGGGCGGACGACGATAGTTTTGACATTTTTGGAGTTGTTCTCCACTCTGGGCACATTTATAGAGGCTGGGATAATATTTAGTCAAGTTCTTCTGACCTTATTCCCAACTGTTTCTTGAAATGTAAACTAAACCAAATAAACACCCCTTGAAAAGTTTCATCTTCGAAAAGCATTATGACTATATGTTTTATTAGTCAATAAATAAATAAATAAATAAATAAAACAAGTTGCAGTTGGTTGTGGAAAAAGGTTTGCTGCCTCTTGGTGTTTTCGTGTAAAGGGGCGTAGGAAACTCAGAGATTACATCCAGCATGAAGTTTACACCCTCTCGAGCTCAGCAGCACGTGCTGGAATAATAAGCAAATAAAGTGCGCGCGGCCGCGCAGATGATTGCATCTCATCGGCGAGTGTAGCCGCGCCGCGCGCGTCGCCGGGAGCCTTCAGCATCACAGAGGAGAGCCAGGCAGGCGTCTCTGTGACTCCGTGACTCCGGCGAGCAGCAAACAGGAGAAGGTCCCATGCGCAGCTCTCCCACCGGGCTATGCCTTCCCCTACTCGGGAGGACGGAGCGGCTCCAGCTGACGGCCGAGGTCTGGTGTGCGCCCTGGAGATGGAGCTGACGAACCGCAGCCTGCCCAGCAAGATGGAGTGCGTCAGCTGCGACGAGCTGAAGAGTGGAAGCCGCGCGGACTCCCCAGAGGTTTCGGTGCCGCTGGCTCCCCTGGGGAAGCGCGTAACTCACATGGAGGGAGACGACCTGTGCAGGCTGATAGACAGAAAGTTTCTGATAGAGGACAAGAAACGCCTCTGCGCGCTGGCTTTGGGCACCGCTTTGGTGGGGATCTTGCTGATGATAATCCACGCTGAAATTTGCCCCTATGTTTACGAACCGGTAGGTTGCGCACACAATCCACTGCTATCAACCAGAAAGGAATTGACTTCTTTATTACCAAATCTATCATTTCTAATCATTAGCTTATTTTCCTGGTTTACTTCCATTCTTTCTGCCCTGACTTTTCCTGTACTCTGCAGGTTGAACTCAGGTATATTAGGACAAAATAAAAACATGTCCACCCTGCCTATTGGAAAGCCACATCTGATGCCAGGACATTTGCGTGGAAGTGTCACGTTATGCTTTAGGCCAAACAGGCATTTGATCCCTGAAATCCAGAGGAAGTGCACCGATTCAGGGAGAATAACATCATAACATCTGAACCACTTGTGCAGTTCAAACATTCAGCTTCTTAAGATCTGAGTTTTGCAAGTGTGGATATGTTTTGATTCTCACGGCTCAGGAGTTGTCAAGAAAACAGAAAAAGCAAAAACAAACAATGTGGAATGGCTAAATGCCCCACTTTCAGTTTAGTGTTCAGCATCACATTCTGTTTTTGACTTGAAATACAATAAAAACTGTTCAAAAAGTAAAAACAAAAAAATACAAATCTTTTCTGCCCTGACTGTATTGTAATTAGAGGCTTAATATAATATTGCATCGAAACCAGACGGTCAATATGGAATTGAAAATGTCTCACAAATAATTAGTTTATTGCGATGACAATAAAAAGCAATAATAGCTATTAGGAAGCTTGTTGCTTTTTGAAGCAAGCCTATCAAACCACATGCAGAAAACAAACACTGTTCTAAAAGACAAAAACTAAACTTCCAGATCCATTAGAATAGTTCATAATTCAGTGAAATTATAGTTGGTTCCTTTTCATTTGTACCTTCATTTGTATGGGAATTAAAATATAAACAAAGGTAGCTGAGAATTGAAAGAAATGAATGATTAATGAACAATAGGTTTCATAAGTACTGTTAGTTGCTCTCAGAATTGAACGTTTCTCACATAACAACATGCAACATGATATGTTGTTTAATTTATTACCATTGCTCATAGGTTTTTGCTGTTGGTAAATGATGTTGTGTGATGGAGCCGTCAGAGGATTTATGGCGTTTGGACATCTGACGATTCGATGCAATCAGTATTTTAACTCTGCTGCTGAATAATTGTCTTAAAGCCTAGTTTGAAATATCAGCACAAGACTGATGCAGTAAAAACAGCAAGCTCAATCATACAAACAGTTTTTAGTGAACCTTGTCAGTCAGTCTTATTTTTTCCACAGTGTATTTTTCACATTCAGAACAGATAATGTGATAATTTCTGTCCCCTAACCAAAACAGACGTGTTTTGAGTGTGAAAGTATTTCTTTCAGTCTTGCTTTCCCTAATTTCTAAATAATAAGATATCCTGGACAGACGATGTTAGTTGTAGAAATAAAGTGCAAAGATGGTATAAAAAAAACACAAAACAAGTTGACAGGATGAAATGAGGTACAAAGGACAATAAAGAGAAACAGAAGGTCAATATTCCCAAAGTTTTCTGCTGCAGACGATTAAAAGTTCTGATACATAGACATCAACAGAATGGAGGACCTGCATAAAATCCATCATAACGGCAACTTTTAGACAAAATGAGCCTCAGATTGTAGGAGATATATTTGATTTCACCATATGACTAATCATCCAAATAAATCATAGGTTCAAACATGATTTTCTCTGTTTTTTTTTTTGTTTGTTTGTTTTTTTCATATGCCAAAGTTTCATGAGAACGGGGTCAAAAACAGTCATCAGACAAAAACAGCGTTCTCTACTCTTTGAAAATCCTGAGAGCAGGATTAGAGTCTTCTCTCTGTAACTTTCAGAAAGCAAAAGCTTTCCAACTCGGTCTGCTTCGAGTGGAGAGACTTTGATCGCTTTTCTGGCAAGTTTCAGTTTCAAAGATTATACTCAATAACAAAAAAAAAACCTCCAGAAAATCCATTGTAACTTTTTTTTTTTTCTGCTGCCATAAGGAGTTTTCTGATCAGCAGGCAACATAAACCCCATGCGGCTCGGCTGCAGACTCTGCACCTGGCTTGACCCCCCTTCTGACCCGCTGATTAGTGAGTCTGTTTCCAGATCTCCACTTTGGTAGCTCAGCCTGACATTAACATGCAGATCTCATTGGATAACAATGCCAGGCCACACAATCAACCAATTATTAACTCCCCCCCTCCCCGTCCTCCGCCCTCCACCTTCTTAGCAGCAACACGCCAACTCAACATGTGGAAAAAAGTTCTCATGCGAGCAGCAGAGCATCCGACCCCCTTCGTCCACGAAGCAGCAGTGATTGATTACGGTGTCGAAGGGCCCCATGCTTCCAGCAAACATCAGCCACACGTCTTCGAGCGACTCGGTGGGGACCCCTCGCTTACACCTGATGCATTCGTTGGGGGAGTTTGGAGCCGGAGACGTGACTGGCAAAAAAAAAATCAAGCTTTTCTTTTCCAGTTCAATGTAGACAGAGAACAGGTGTTATCCAATCATTTCTGAAAACAGTCATAAAACCTTAGTGCCATGGAAATGTTGATGCACTGGAAAAGCGCTCTGTTGCGCAGTTAAAACTTATTACTTTGGAGACTCGGCACAACTGATTTGAATAGCTTATATAACCATTGTTACCCTTCATCTTAATACATTAGATGATATCCGAGTCATGACTGAGAGCTTGACTGATTTTGCTCTTTGTCAGTAACAACTGCTTCACAATGCAGCAGATTCGAAGTGTCTTAATCTTATTTTCTAGAAAGCGTAAAACCTCATTTCTAAGTCTGCTGCAGCATACTTGTTTTTTCAAAGATATCAGCAGCCCTCAAAGTTATATTTGAGCATACTTTTACATGAAAACAGGTCTATTTATGTCACATTTTTCCACATTTTACCTCTTCCCCTGCAGCAAGATTGTTAACAGCACTCCAGGCTATCTTTCCACACCATTTAGTTTATAATTATGGTGTTTGCATGACCAGTCTGAACAGTCTCTCTCCATTCTGACTTTGGCAGTGCGTCTCACAATGAGCGTGTGCTCCTGTTTGTGACCTCATGCCATCTTTTCTCCTAGTTTCCTTTGAAAAGCCTTTTACGGTTTTAACTCCACTTCGACTGACTGGCCGAGCAGACCTGACATTTCAGGGGGAAAGCGGATCATTTTGACTCAGACGCTTGCGATTCCAGACGCGTCGACTCATAGTCCTAAAGAAAATGAAAATCAAGCAGAAACCAAAATCAGCCGCTTCAGATGTTGAAAACATGCGACGGTTCCAACAACGTCTGAGGCAGACATGACACGCTGTTTACAACGCTTTGCCAGAGTAATCCATGTACCGCCTCAGTCTCCTCACATTTTCTTTCACTTTATACCTAGAAACTATTTTGAAGAGATTTTACGTGATACTGCAACACAATGTTAATTCCCGATTTTACTTAAAAAGATTTTCCATATCTTTGCAAAGAAAGTCTGAAACACGTGGCATGAATATTTATTTAGCTTCACTACAAAACAATTGCTACTGACAGGTTACTTCTATTTGCTAAATAGCATTCTTTTCAAAGCATTTAACAATATTGTATTTAGGGCTATAATCACATAGCCATGTATCACTTCCCAGCTGTAAACTACAGTGTGCTGATCTATCACAAAGCTAAAACACTTATTTAAAGGTTGTGGTTTTGATGTGAGAAAACAAAAACGTTCAAGGCGAAGGAACCGCATTTTTTCAAAACATTCTCATCACAGGTATGCAAACGCAACCTGTGGTGAGTCATGAATGTGTGGGTCCACATTAGGTCTGACCAAAGCACTGCGACGCCCACAACTAAACTCGATTCACACATCACCAAGAACATCATTTCTATGATAAGGAGAATATTATGCTGTTCGATATTCAACAGCAGAATTGATCAAAATATCGTCCAAAGTGTCTTCACGTCTTTTCTTCCATGTTTCATGAAGCAGGTGCTTTACAGCCTGTGATGCAAAAGCAAGATTTTCTGGGACGCCATCCATCACAAAGTTCATGAAAAATCCTTTTTAATGTAAAAGTTTGATTTATTTTTAGAAAAAGTCTTTTCTCTTTTTGCAAGATTTGGGAGCTTTTTAATTTCTGTGCATATACTTGGAAAATGTCAAATGTTGACTCTTTTGTAATACACCCACCGATTTAAAACCACAATGTCATTCAGTGTGAAAACATTTTGTAAAATTAGCGAATCCTAAACTGTTGTGTAACTTTGTGTCCCCCTGAATACAGATGACTCTGTTCTTTAGTGCACAGAACAACTGGAACAGGGCCGCGAGTCAGACCGGTCCCACATGTGTTGCAGCCGTCAGGGAGATTTTGCTGAACTGCATCTCAAAGCAAAGTGCAGAATTTAGTCAAATGAGCTACAGAGCTCATTTGTGTTCATAAAAACAAAGTGTATACCTGAAACTGTGAACGGTGTTAGGCTTCTGTTGAGGTTAACTCCTACACAGGGCTAAGTGTTTACTGTAGGCATCTGCAGTACCAACCTGAGTTTTGAATTAGACTTTTGGAGAGCGGGGATTAGGACAAAAAGAAACGTTTGAAGTTTTTGTCTTTGCTTGCTTCTTTGCATGACTATGTTGATAGTTAAAAACTCTTGAACATGAATTATAACGGCTAAAATAATGTGCATGATAATTAATCTTGAAAATATCCTGAAAATCACAGTCAGTTGATACTTCAGATACCACTGTTTACACTTGTTTGTTCTGCTTTTAGTGGTTTGATTTCATTTTTTGTAAAAGTGGTCACTCCTGCTTACAGTGGTTTGTCTTAATGCCTTTCACGGTTAACCTAAATTTGCTTTACTCATCTTAAAAACACATTGTTTCTTAGAAAGCTGCTACAGAAACATTTAAAGAAACTCAGTAAAGTGTATGCTGTTGTTGTCTCTGTAACGGCACTCGGTGAAACGTTGAGCTTTTGTGAAATCTCCTAATTAGTTCTGGATGAAACGCAGACGCGACGTGGATGCTACTGCAGGAACTGTGGAAAACAACATACCTTGCCAACGGACGTCACACACTACCACCAACACTCTTGGGCTTCACAGAGTTTGAAAGTTTGCAATTTTCTTTCTAAGCATAAACCACATCCTGTTTAAATCTTCCACCGAAGTTCATCCTCTGCTTTGGGATGCGTGACTCATGGATAAAGGTGCCGTTTAACCTGCTGTCATGAAGCAGTGCGGTGAATCCTTGCTTGGTTCTGCTTTCGGCTTGCGAGCCGACCTTAGCGTGTGCATCTGTGCCTCCAGCTGTCAGCTTCCTGCTGTGGAAAGTATTCCATTACAAGCATGCTGGTTTCAGCAGTTCAGTTCATTATACAATCATTTATTCCTTTTTTCATTAGAAACAATTATTGTAAATCTCTGCTCAAGCTTCATGTGGAAAGACAATGATCACAATGGCTCCTGTTGTGTTCTCTGAGCAGACAGAGAGGAACAATCAGCTCAATTTGTTCTTTTGCAAACTTTCAGATACGACAGGTAGATAATATGAACAGCAATACCAGTAATGCAGAGCGATGATCCATAAAACACCTTGGCATTGGAGTTTAGCAAAGCGCTACTGAGGAAGTTGCCAAATTGAACACTTTTTTTTTGTTAATGTTTTGAAAACACAATATTTTTGTAGCATTTTATGTCTTCGGAGTTAAGTTTCCAAAGACACATGAATATATACGCTGTGAGGCATTTTAATTGATTTAATTCATTCGAAACTATTTATTAACCATTAGAACTTTTCCACCGGAGATGTTCCAGTTTTTAACCATGACTGATGCTGGAGCAGTTCTGTAAAGAACCGGTTTGCTTTTCCACCTCTTGAGAGCCAAGACACAGCCACATCATTAAGTCATTATCAACAATTCATTTATTCATTGCTTAATTCTCCCCAATGTTTTATTCAGTGTTTTTGTGAAGGTTTGCAGCGCATGGAGAAAATTTATCGCCTGAAGTAGTACTATTTATTTCAGTAGCTCTATTAATATCACCAGCTTTGTTCAGGAATACTGCTCTATAATTAGTCCTGATCAGTTTAAATCATTAACACCAGCAACTTGAAAACAGGAGCTGTGCACAGCTTTCAGAGCAGAATTATTAACACCACATAACGATAAAAAGCTGACAGAGTTAAAGGACATAATTTCACTAATTGTAAACTAAACTGCAGGACAACAGGAGACGGTAATCTTATGTTATTGTGACGCTATTTCGACATTTGGTCTTGAAGCTCTTGATGTTTAAATTTGAATGATTGAAAAACAAAAATAGCTCCAGAGATTTAAACATCGTAACATTCTGATAGGCGTCTCGTCTGGCCCGGTGGCGGAGCTGAGGACCGCAGAAGCTTCTGGTCCTTCTACTGGATATTTTATTCTTTCAATAAAAATAAATAAATAAATAAAAAACACTGATGTGGGTAAGAAAGCCATATTTTGTCTTCTGCTACATTCTTCGTCTCTGGGGATGATTAATGTCAATTTATGGTCAGTACTTTAAAATTAAGCTGAATTGTTTTGGTTTCTTGACGTGCGGCGTGATTGTCTTACTTTCTGATGTTAGATTTAACTAAGTTATGCCTTTTGCAGGGAAGCTCCAGGTTTACGGTTCTTTGTTGGAAAGCTGTCCTTTCTGCACTCTAAGAACATTTCCTTCTGTTTGTCCACATTCCCTTTTGGCAGACAGCAACTCCAGACTGTCAGATGAAAGAAGTTAATAATTTCCTCCTTGCTGCATATTGTTTTCAACAATGCTAATGGGCCATTTGGGTCGACTGACACGTTAATTTCTAAGTATGTGATATCTTTAGTTACACACTGCAATGTGGTGCCACTGGGACACGCAGGCTTTTATTACAAATCGTACAATTTTCCAGACATGTGCAAACAGTTGAAGCACCAAACAGCTTAACAGTAACCATATGTTAGATCATGTTTTCTGTCTGTCTTTAAGAAAAAAATAAAAAATTAATCAGCCTCCATCACAGGCAAAATATAAAGCTCTTGATATGTGTGACCCGCCTTTCCCTCTTTTTCCACACACATCAGAGCCATGGGGCCTGAAGGGAGGGGAAAGTGATAAAATCACAAACTGTAAGGTTAACTTGACCTATACGGTTTTAGCTGCTTTTTAAAGATGTTAACACGCCCAGTTAGCAGTAAAAACAAAACGAAACAAACAGGGAAATTAGAACAATCGCTCTGGGTTTTGGAAGTTTGAGGCTTTAAACGTAATAAAGGTTCTTAAGCACACAAAGCCATTATGATTTACATCAAGAATTCAATGGTAATTTTGAAAATTAGAACCAAGGGGGAAGTAAAATATGAATCATTTCTTTTGCTATTTTGTTGCAAAGTGGAATTCTTTTTCAGCACACAATCCCAACTTTCAAAGTTCACACACCTGTGTTGACATCAGTTGCATTTTCCTTTTTATTCTAATTATTTACATATTAAATTCATTCTTCAAAGCATTTGCTTGTAATCAGCAGCTAAGTAGTGAAGTTATACATGAGAAATCTGTATGAATTTTAAGAACATTGACAACAGTAAAGCAAATGGAAGTGGTTTGTAAAAAGGACCAAGGCAGACTGGAATGGTCCAATTTCATTCGGTTGTTACAAAAACCAAGTCGATGTGTTCAGTGTCTCTACAATGCTTTATTGCATGCTGCTTTTGCCAAGTTGTTTTCAGGCAGGCAGACTTATAATGAGCCCAGAGCTGAATAAATGACGGCCGTCGTTCCAGTTGACATCAAGAGAAACAAAAAAAAGATGCCAACGTTGGCTGTCAGAGAGAAGTTGTTTGGATAACCAAAGATCACCAGTTAACTATTCAAGGTGATGCATGGAGAATTCACTCATTTTACCGGCAACAAATATTCAGACAGGTGTAAAATCTGATGATCATGGCCATCATCAACAGACACATCAAATGTGTCTCGTCCAGAGCAAACCTTCAGACCTGGAACATTTCGGCTTTGCAATAATATTTGGAGCTGTTGCACTGATAACAACTTGGGCATCCGTGGACTCAAACGCATCAGGCTGAACACCTCAGAATCGATGTTAAAACATGAAGACTCTGTGCCTCTTGCGACGTCACCGACCTTAATAAACTAAAGCCAGATTACCATTTATCTTAACTGCATTGGAAGTCTGCTTTGGCTATTAGTGTGTGTTTGTGAATGTACTAAGTAGTAATTTTTTCAGCACATCATGGTACCTTTAAATAACAGCGTGACAAAAACATTAAGGGAAATCAACTAAATGTCTTTTCTTCTTTCTTTGCTTCATCTCATTCTGTTGTGTTGTCTTTGTAGGGCTCAAAAGTGTCCTTGGTAATCAACTGCTCCATCAGCCTGTCCACTGGGTGTCTCCTCATCTCATCATAGCCTTCCATTATAAGGACATCAGGGTGAGTCCGCTAGTTTCTTCTTGTTGGTTGCTTTGTAATGAATGTTCATGTTTTAAGATGTTTGTTCCAAATGAACTTGTTTTGTTTGAGATCCCTCATGACCATTGTTTTTAAGGAGCTTTTGGTCCACTGGTGGTAGCCTCAACATTGTTTAGCTGCACTTCCTAGAAAGCCTCTGGATGGGAACATAAACCCGCATGGACCGACCCGGCTGTGATGTTGTTCAGTCCACATGGCTTGCTGTCGCAGTTTGTTTAGTCAGTGTACATGAAGGGATTTGACTGAGGCTAAACTGAGAAAACATTTTAGTCTTTGTCTTCAAGCAGTTGCAGCATGCTCGTTCAGTGGACAACTTTTAAAGGCAAAAGCTGTGTTTTCCTTTTGGACTGAGTTTGTTAGCAGCCGGCCGGGTTCGTATTCTCGCTTGCATCTGCCTGATAAACGTAAGGCAAAGTGTGAGCAGGAGATAAGGGAGGGAAGGTTGAGGGTGGAGACGTAACCCTTTAAAAGCACAGCAACATTTCATTTGGAAAGCTTCAGCAAGCCTTATGCGAGTAGAACAACCCGTTTTAGAGGCGGTACTCAGGACAAATCCAGAAATGTAGGCACCAGTGAAAGTGTGGAAATCATTTAAAGAGGACAGCCATGAAACGCAAAACAAAGTGAAATAAAGAAGAAGAAAATGGAGAGAACTGAAATCAGATAAGAATTAGGAGACTGGATGTCATCTTATAACAGAGGAGAATAAAAATTTAACAAACCTCATTAGTCACAGTAAAAAACAACAACAACAAAGAACTGCAGCAGGATTGTGGTTAAGCGAAAGCAAAAGTTGAATTAAGATGAAGAAAAACCACAATTGTAGCACAGCTGTGACGTCTTTCTCCCTCTACCATAAACACGTTATGATTGTGTGTTTCTCTTCTTATATTAAACATAAAAACTCAAATGGATGTTTGTGATCCCTGAAAGAACAACTTTTTTCCACTTTATGGAAAAATTACGGCAGCACATCAGATTCCTTTGCTACGGGTCCTACGATAAAAGTTTTAAATTACCCCTCATTTGAAGTTATTTTGCTTCTTTTGATTTTTCCTTCCTTAGTTTTTTCAAGTTAATTTTTTCTTGTTTGCTATTGTAGTTCTTTTTGTTTCTTTGCTTTGCTGATATTATTTTTACATTTATTGTGTTTTGTTACTTTGTCGCTGATTTTTCTCTGTTTTAGTTAGTTAGTTAGTTAGTTAGTTAGTTAGTTAGTTAGTTAGTTAGTTAGTTGGTTAGTTAGTTAGTTAGGGACTGAAATTAAATGTATTGCTGCTAAAATCTAAAAAAAATTACAAAAGACCTTCAGAAAGTGAGGGACTTTGGATCATGACCGCTGTAAAAAATTAAGAGATCCTGGCTGCCTGAAAGCAAAATACTAAGAGATGATAAAATACTTTAGACTTTTCATGTCCAGCAAAAGCAAAACATTTGTATTCATTCCCAAGTGGCCTTTTTTAATGTTCACCAGTTTCTTTCTCTGTCCGTTGCTCCTTCTAGCTGTTCATCATTGATCACAAGGAGGTGGACTGGAGAATAGCTATAACAAGTCACAGGGTTCTTGTGATCACCCTGGAGCTGCTGGTTTGTGTCATCCATCCAGTTGGCTCGTACTGGGAGATGGACCTCTACTCCAACTCCTCCTCCGCCGCTCCTCTCTGCATTTCCAGACACCACGATAAGGCCCTGCTGGACATGGAGCTGTTGCTGTCCATGCTCATGTTCCTGCGCCTCTACCTGGTTCACAGAGCCATCCTGCTGCACAGCAAAGTGCTCCTGAGCGCCTCCTACAGGAGCATTGGCTCGCTTAACAACATCAACTTCACTTTTCGCTTTGTTCTGAAGGTACTGATGAACAAACACCCGGCGCGTGTGCTGCTGGTGTTTATCCTCCTTTTCTGGCTCACAGCGTCGTGGATGCTGACGCTGTGTGAGAGGTAAGAAAATGTGTGTGTGTGTGTGTGTGGGGGGGTGTGTGTGGTGGTGGGTGTGTGTTTTGTGAAAAAGAATGAAAGCATGGTTGTGTTTTTATAGCACATAGCAGAAAATGAACCGTAATGGTAAACTTTATTCAGGTTTATTCTAAGTCTTATATGCTTTTAAGAAACTTTTGATTATTTTTCTTTGATAAAAAGAACTTCCTCTTCCAGCACTAGTGTTTTGACATGCAAATGATCTCTTCTTTATCAAGACCTGAAATTATGAAAATCTAACCTCAAGCCTGAACAACCACACACCATAAGTTCTGCTATGATAAAGCCCAACTACAAAGGTTTGTGACGAACTGAGATCACCTCAAAAATCTGTGATGAATATCTATTATTTAAAGGTGGAGAATTATTTTTGTTGCATTTGTTGAACTTTTTTACATTATGTTGCATTGCAAATATTCCTTTATGCATTTTATTGGATTTACAATGTAGTGCATGCATGCTTTTAATCGGCTCCACTTTGTGTTGATAGTATAACACATAATAAGACCAAAGTAAGATATTTCTTGTAACATTACTCTCATATTGGGTGCAGTTTCGTGAGATGTAAAAGAAGTTTAAAGTGTTAGAATATTTACTAGACACAAAATCTATTCCTCTTCTCCAGTCCATTACTAAAGTCAAGCTGTCAATTTCTTTTTCACTGCTGGAAATTGGAGCACTTGCAGATTTCCATATATTTCATATATTGACATGACTATATGTCCCAACAACAGAAATGCAGGAAATCAGGATGCCTGCTGCATGGCTGTTTGATGCACAGAACTTTAGTGTTGCATCTGAGGGAAATGTGTTGCTGATATTTGGCTGGAGATGAACCGACCCGGCTCAGTCCAGCTGAGTACTTCAAGATGGAAGCACTCAGCTGGAGTACTTCCATCTTGGACTTGAAAAATAATCTCTCCAATGAAGGTTCATGCAAATCCTCCCAAAATTCAAAGCTGTTAGGGTCTAGACTTAAATATTTTAAATAATTAAATTGTTGAACTGATATATTTTGTTTCTAGATTTCTGTTTTGCAGTACTTTGAATTAAAATGAATATGTGGAACAGTTCATAGTGTACTATATTTACCTGTATGAGATCACAGATTGAACTTGATTTTTAGATTTGACTTAATTTGAAAGACAAATTAAATTTTAATTAAGCACAGTTTGCCATATGAGTAGTTTATAGAAAATGGTATCGCCTTTGGTCCCAATTGAGCCAGTGGAGTGAAATTCAGTTCCTTATTCATAATAAGAAGTAATTTCATTGTTGTTTTCTGTGTTGTTCTTCTAAGAATGTTCTTTTCTGTGTGAGTTAAAAAGCCTAAGTAATGCTCTGGCTGTCATGGTGTGAGCTCATTTGTATATTTAAAGCTTAATGAGAGGTCTGACCCAAACCAATACTTGTTTTGCTTGTCAAAAGTAACATTAGAGCTGAAAATGATAGGTGCTTTGACCTCTAAATCGTTTCATAATGAACGGCCAAATATAGCTGCCACCTGCCACGTACAGGAGACAAACACAGTGCAATACATACTTTTCCTTCAAATTTATGTGGACTAGAACATTTCCAAGCACATGACAATGCAGAAATTTGTTTTCCCTCTGCTCATTTTAAATTTGTCATTTGGATAGTAGTCTTCAGATTATTACAACCTGTACCAAGACTGATACCTCTCCTTTTTGCCATTAATTCACCCGTACCTCTACATACCGAACCAAGCTAAAAATAAATAATTTGGCAGAAAACATGTTTTTATAGAGATAGTGGTGGTGATCATTTAATCCTATGGTAGAAAGAGGTTGTACTTTTATCCTATAACTGTGTTGACAGTAACTTTCTTTTTCTCTCTGTTGCCATTACACTTTGCATTTTTCATAATTCTTGAGGTGTGTGCACTTCTTCTTTACAATGTCTTCCTAGTTTATGACGGTAATCATTCACTTCCTTCACTGATAAGAGAGTTTGATTAGTGAACGCTGCCTTCATTCAACATACAGGATTCTGTTGGCTCTAACATGAACACACACAGAAAGCGATGGATTCCTCAGCGCTGAAGAATCCATCAATTCTGTTATTTTCCCATTAATTTCATTCATGCAAATGTTCCTTAATGTGAATCCGACTCAAACAGAGACAATAAACAGGGTCATATTAAATATTCATCAGGTCTATATTTTCAATGGTTTGAGATTGACTGAATATTTTAACCTACATTACTTAAAAATGTGCATCTCTTCTAAAGGTCTTAAACTTTCTTCTTTTTTTTTAACATTTTATCAAATAAATTGGTCATCTGATAAATTCACAGACATCCATATGCATAAATTCTTCTTATTGATGAATAAAACTCAGATGCTAGTTTTTATTTTCATTACATCCAAAATTACACGTTTCTGTAATGAAGGACTTTTTTTTTTTTTTTTTAGGAATTTACATAAAAAGAAAATAATTGTGAAAATATGATTGGCGATTATAAGCAAAAATGATCTGTCTGTCACACCTCCTCCACTCTCCATCCTCTCATCTGCAGGCGGTCTGAGTCGCTGACGACGGGCCAAATGGACACCGCCTTGTGGCTCATCGCCATCACCTTCCTCACTGTGGGCTACGGAGACGTTGCACCCAAGACCAGCTGTGGCAAGGGGGTGTGTCTCTTTACCGGTGTCATGGTAAATAGATTAATTTCTTCTTCAGATGATGCACCGTATGATAAATGCTGGAGTCCTAGAACGATTAAAGCAAAACTGAAATGCTGTGGTTCTCATCCAGTGGTTTCTATATTTGTTCCAGAAGACATAAAGTGATGCTTGACTTGATGAGCTTATCTTTGTTTCACTTCTCTGCTTATTAAAAGCTAAACCACTTCTGGCTTCTGATTTGCGTGGATAAGTAGCCTGATAGTTATCAGGTGATTCAGTTGGTTATGCTGCACTTCTCCAGCCATCTTCCGTCAACTTCTTTTGCTTTTGAGGCTGAGGCGTAAAATTATTCCTTTATTGCTTTCTTGATGTGGCATTTTAACAAGCTATACTCAGGCTAAATTTATTACAAAGAATCTGCAAAACAATATGGAAAAACAGCTTGGAAGGCCACACCAATCATTCAGATGTATCCAAGCATTGTGCAGGCTGCTGTGCTGACCAGCTATAGAAATGTACATAAAACAATATCCTCAGTTTTAACTGGATGTCCTACAATTTGTATATGTGTTAATTTAATTAAAATAATAATGTGATAGTTTTGCAATATAGACATGTACGTTTTACCTCCTCGTTCAGTTTTTGCAATAGATCCTTTCATTGTTTTGCTGGGACTCAAACTAAATATTTTCAGCTTTGTTCCAGGTTTCTTAGATTTATTCTCCTCTGGTTTGTTTCACTTGCTCCGCTACAGAACATTTTCCCCCTTTTCCTGTCTGATTTTTCCTATTTCATTTGGAATTGGTCTTTGAATTTCTTCCTTTTGGCAGTATATTTATTCTGTGCACGGAGACCAGTCTTCTTGGATGCGTAAGGCTTCTGTAATGAATGCATTTTCTGCAGCATGCTTCCCAGCTGTAAGTTAACTCTCTGTGGAGGAAGACAGCAAACATATGAAGTATTGCAGCTTTGCTCCACACCTGGTCTACAGCTAGCTGTCTTTTTCTTATTTGAGGGAACCAATTAAAGGATCCCAGGGTGAAATCTTAAGAAGCAATGCAGCTCAGTTGGTAGTTAATACTATATGATCTTATTCTTAAACATTTTTACATTTTGTCATGTCACAATCACAAATTAAAAGTATCTTAATAGGAGTTTACAATAAAAGAGGTATGATTTTGAAGTGTAAGTAAAATAATATATTATTTTCAACATTTATCCTCAAAAACATGATTAGCTGGGGGAGTATTTGCATTCAGTCAGCACTTTCTAGAAGCACCATTTGATTCTATTGTCAAAAATATTTGCTTATCTAGCAATAGAAGACAAGCTCAGTCAGAGTTTTGTATTTGACATCATTTTTCCAAATCCTGCTATAAATTATCCATTGTATTTAGCTCTGGACTTTGACTGGACTATTCTAAGGCAAGAATGTACTTTGATGTAAATAATTTCTCTGTCGTTCTGGCTGTAAGTGTCAAACTGTCGAACTTCTTCCCCAAACTTGCAGTCTTTCTACGCCAGGTTTTCTTCCAGAATGGCTTCGTATTTATCCTCATTCGTCTTTCAGTGACTCTGACGAGCCGAAGGGAAGCATCCCATCATGATCTTTCAGTCATCATGTTCTGGAGTTAAGATTTTGTGTTCGGATTGAAGTCACATGTCAGATTATTGGTGCCACAAATAACAATTTATATGGAGACTGGAAGATTTTTCCTCTTACTTATCTAAGCAGAGCACCTTCTTACATGATTGTTGCGGTGTCCCTTACATGGCTTCAGCCAAACTTCAAATAGGATGTGTTTTTGGCTTTCTACCAATATAAGGTTTATTTCTGCCATTTTTCTAAAAGGTCAGACTTATAAAGTTTCTTAACAGTAGTCCTGTTAACAGATTCTTCCACGGGAACATGGCGGGTCCTCTGGAGTTAATATGGACCTTTGGGTTGCTGACAGGCGATGTATACTGTCTTGTCTAGTTGCTTTACATGGGAACAGCTTCATAAGTTTTGTTTGTGCCTCATTTTTTCAGTTAGCAGATGGTGGGTTGAACAGTGCTCTGTGAGACCCTCAGGGGTTTGGACGTCATTTTATTGCCTAAATATGTTTAGATGAACTGTATCTCTTTCCTGCCTGCTGTGCTCTTTGGTCTCATGGACATGTTTGTTCGCTAATGTTCTCTAAGAAACCTCTTAGCCATTAACAGGTGGATTTATTCAAATCTCATTGCGCACACCTGGATCCTGAAAGAGGAAGTTGCACCGAATCTGGGGTAGCAGAGTAAAGGGGGCTGACAAACTACACACACCACACTTTTCTGGTTTAATTTGTAAAATATTCCAAAAATCACTCATATTTCTTCTAAATCAGACAAGGCTTTGTATTCTCTTGTATATCACATAAAATCCCAGGGAATTCAAAGACTGTGGCTGTTACTTGACAAAATGTGAGAAGGTTAAAGGGGGGATTCAAGTTTTTTTTGTTTGTTTGTTTTTCTTATATACAAAGAGAACTAAAGCTAATGTTCCTATGACAGCAGGTGTTCAGAAAGGTCCGGAACAAAGTTAAAGATTAAATACATATGTGTAATAAAACAAGAAGACAAACATCATGTCACTGACGATGAGGTGTGGCGGATTCTGAAAAAGCGACACACTTCTCTGCCACCTTGAATCCAAGTGAAACCAGATCAGAATCCCTGTGGTGGTCTGGATGTGTTTAGACACCTTTGTGACAGAGTGGAAAACAACCACTCTGTATCTCATATTTCTCCATCTGCCTTGTTTTATAAGTTTCCACTAAAAGAGAAAACTTTCCACCATATCCATTTTTACCAGGTTTATTGCATTTGGCACCACTACAGCAGCAGGGTGTGCGAACCTGTGCCCACAGTTAGAAAAAAGTTTTTTTTCCGACTCCCACTGGGAAAGTCCTGGGAGTTATAGGTAGTGATGCTCACACCTGTAATATGGCTGGAAGCTATTCTGCTCAGCACTCCTGCAAAAGATCGGTCTGCAGCTGTTTCCAGGGGTTGACAGCTGTGTGTACAGTCCATCGCTGTGTGTAGATGAATCCGACGAAAGAGCTTCTACCTCCAGGGTTTCGCAAACGATGTAATGATGGACATTGGTGGCTGCTGAAGTAAAGAATAAACATCTTTCAAAACTCTGCCTGAACATTTCTTATGATCATGCTTTGTCTGTCCTTCTCCCTCTTTTTCTCTCTCTCTGTTGCAAGCCGAAAAGCAGAATACCAGGTAAAAACTGGTTCACTCCTATTCACCATTGTGGACACATTGCTGTGTGTTTCTGTTCCGTTTTGCATCTTTTTCTGTTGTGTTTGTGAATGGATTTTGGAAAACTGCAGATCCTTGTCCAATAATAGCAAGTTATTCTCAGAGGAAACCACACAATTATGGAGTCGTAGACTTCTGCTTAACTACAGAATGTCTCTTTCCATTTATTAGAAGTAACCATTAAGAGACGAGGATCAACTTCAATGACTAGCTCATTTCCTTTGAGGGTAGCATCCAAAATACTAACATGGTAAAGTCACCATCATTTTAAAGGTTTGGTGTTCTGACAAAAACCTCTACAGTGAAACCAGCGCTAAATGGTTTTGTGTACCTTTTTGGGTTTCAGGGTGTTGCCTGCACTGCTATGCTGGTGGCCATCGTTACCGAGAAGCTGGCGCTGAACAAAGGAGAGAAGCATGTGCACTTCTTCATGATGGACATCCAGATTTCTAAAAGGGTCGGTTTTAACTCTCCTTCAGCAAATGCGTTCAATACCACAAACACTGAGTGTATAATAAAGCAGAATATGCAGCAGCCAAACTTGGTAAAAAAAAAAAAAAAAACGAAAACAAAGCGTTGAGAGCCAGCGGTGCTCCTGCAGCAGAAGGAGGGAATAGTGTGGTGTTGGGGCCTGGAGGGTTGCTTTTCATTTAAATGACACCGTAAATTATTAATAGATTATTAAGAACAAAATGTTTCATGATCTATTAAATGAATATGTTAACATTTTAAAACTTCCTCTTTTAGAAAGACTAAAATGTTCCACCTGGTGATCAATACATTACAAACTTTTGGGCCCATATTTTCTTGCTCATTATCTCATAAATGTGACTACTGATGGTTTTCAGTGGTCAGAACCGGGTCAGGCAGTGATGTGTTGTGTGAGTGTGTGAAGAAAAAACGCTTCTTTCATCCAACCATTTGTCATGTTTACCTTTATTACACATCGTTTTACTCATAATCATATGGTAACCTTAACATGTTCCACCACAATACGTATATAAACATTTCAATAATATTGGAGCACATTAAATACATGGATGAGTAATTACTACATTTTTAAGCATTATTTCATACATAATTAAGAAATAAAATGTGAGTCATAATTTAAAGATTGAATTAGTTCATTAATTTCATGTTAATTTAATGAAAGTAACAGGTTCCCCTTTCCATATTTCTTAAAAACAAGAATTATTGTTCTTTCCTCTGTTCATCATTTAATCTACCATTTTCTTTATCTCTTTATCTTCCCAATGAGAAGAGATGTAACCTGCCCAAAACTTATGTATCCAAAACTTGTGAGATAATGCACTAAAAGGAACATTGTGTCTGTCTTTTTAGTTGTTGTCAGCATCACGGGAACATTGTGTTTTAATGCTACTGTAAAACCAGATAAGTTTGTCCTGAACAGCTTTTTTTTTTTTTTACAAGGCGGTGTTTTTAACAAGAAAAGACTGATTCAGCAAAAGCACAAACACATCTGTTTCAGTCAGTCACAAAAATCGATTCAGTCACAAAAAACTTTACAAAAAACCTCCAACAACTCTTAATCCACAAAACTGCTCTGAACGACAAAATGTGTTTAAATAATTTTGACCTCTTTGCAAGCTAATCAGATATATAAGAAATAAAAAAATGCAAGAGCCCTAAAATGATCCTGCACCCAACAGTCAAAAGAAATATATTAACGTTTTGGGAAGCGTGCGTCATCATTCTTTCGTAACCTTTCTATTCCCTAGCTGATACACACATGAGAACAGGATAGTGTGAGGGGGGACACGAGAGGAAGATGAGGCCTGCCAAGTTCTTTAGAGCTCTTTCAAGGCGTCAAACAGAGGAAATAATCTTATCTCTGACAGGAAAGAAGCTTCAGTCAGTTCAGGTCGGAGCAGGACGGACAGGAAACTTCGTTTACTCTGGTGTTTCTGTTAATCGTGGCCTGCAGAGGAATTTGAAAAGTGGAAGCATGTACTTTAAATTGCTGCTTGATCAGAAATAAGATTTTTAATTCAAAGGGAGTGATTTAAGACCCTGAGTTGAAGAAAATACAGATTTATGACATCATAATCTTAGCATCTCCTTCGGGTTTCTAAGGAGACCTATTTCTGCTCGCCACATGCAGCAGCGGCACTGTTTGGAGAATGGAACCGTTTCCTCTCCTCTCGTGGCTGCATCCTGTCTCTAGGTGCATCTCTGTGCGTGCGCATGCATCCTTCAGAGCTATCACTAAAGGGAACAAGGGAAGACATCCGGATGCGGACACTGACAGGCTATATTAATAACCACCGCAACAGGGCCGGAGTGACATCACAACAGGGCAGTTGTAGTGATTTGTGCCGGAAAACAAGCTGGACGCAAATAGAATCACAGGGAAGAGTTGCTGCAAGACCCGAACGTGGACCGTTGGGTCTTTATGACGTTAAGAAGTTTAAGTTATGGTTCTGAAATGTTCACCAAATAGAGAAAGTGTGAAACAGGAAAGACTATCTGAATTTAATCAGCTGCCTTAGATGCATTATGTCCTTTCTAAAAGATATGAGGAAACTACTTAGCATATTGGCCAACAGACTGTTTTGTAAAAGTCATATTAGCACTTTATGGTGCTGACATTTTATATCATAGACTGCAGCAAAGCAGTGCTTAGTGGGGAAATAGAAGGAAGATTAAATATGGTTTTCATATTTTCTACAAATAAGGAAGAGCATTAAATAGAAGAAATAGAAGGTCCTGTTAAAGAGCTAATTCTATGATTTCTCAGTGTGGAGAAGAACTTCTCCACACTGAAGACCTTCTTGTGTGGATGAAAGGATATTCATAAATTAATGTAGCTTAGATCTGACTTGGGCTCTTCTTTTGAGCCCAAGTCAGAATTGTTTGGTAAGACCTGAAAATTGCTTCTGTTTCCAGTCTCACTGAGCTTGAACTACTTTGCAAAGAGCAGAGGGGGTAAAAAAAACATTCTTGTGAACATATACACATTTTTTGGATCCCATTTGTTCATAAACAAATGTGAAAATGATGTATCGCTTTCCTTCTTCACTGTTCACATTTGTGCACTATGTTGTGCTGGTCCCACTGAATACTTTGAGGTCTGTGGTCGATATTTGCAAATATGGGACAGTAAAAGTTGTTTAAGTGTGTTGTGCAACATGTTAAAGATGGACAGACATCATCTTGAAGATCTTATCATTTTGTCTCTGTGTTCTAACACAGATCCGGCACGCTGCTGCTAATGTTCTGAGAGAATGCTGGCTGCTGCACCGTGCTAGCCGGCGAAGGGCAGCCGGGACGAGCTTCGACGACACCAGCGATGTCTTCTGGAAGCCATCAGAGTGTGAGTTGGACAGTGGAGGCAGTGTGTTCAAACCTGGGCAGGAGTAACAGGATGATGGCATTTGTATGCCTTGCAGTGTGTACTTTATGGACCATTAACTTGGTGTCAGCGCCCGGAGTCTCCGACTGCAATGGCTAATTTAGATTACCAATCAGATTGACTTGCAACTCTGGTGTTAGCGGGACATGTGGGAACAGGAACACACTTTTCTTTTGAGCCCAAGTCAAGTCAAAGTTCCTGCTTACAAGTGGCCAATTAAAATCGTTATTGGTGAAACATTCATCCCTAAATATTCGCTAATCAATAATACACTGAACACAAGTCACTATGTTGAGATGACTTTGAAGTTTTGTATTTCTTGTAAATATGGAATCCCCATGCTCCAAGAACAAGTGGATTGCACAAGCCAGGAAGTGCAGAAGTGTGATTAAGAGCTCCATTATTCTGTCAACAGGAATACATGTGTGAGGGCGCTCTGCGTTAGCTTGCATGGAAGGGCCTGTGCTTCCTGTTTCAAACTGGCTGAACCATTACAAATAAACACCCTGTGGAAAGTATGAGAGCGGGAGGAACCTCCACACCTCGGGAATTACTGTCTACTGTAATGAGACTCCATCACCTCATTATGTTCTCGGCCGCCAAGCACCGATCGCAATATTGGTTTCCATAAATCTGTTTTCTTTGTACTTCTGCTTTCGTCCATCTGTGGAGCTAAATTTATCCGTTTTCCGCCCCTGGCAACGTTTTACAGCTGTTTAACAAACTCAGCATGACCCTCTCCGCGCTGATTAGTGGAATACTCGTCAGCATGTTCTTTTCCCAAACCGGACCGTCTTGTGCCAGGACTGGAATATTTGTCCAAAATTGGGATGCTGCATCTTCAGATGAGCAATCTGAAGATACAGCTAACTGGAGCTTTTAGACCCAAAACATGATATAATTGGCTTTAGATAAGGACTTTGAATCCAAAAGAATTTTTTTTGTGCCATAGAAATGACTAATTTGATCCACTTCTGTCTCTATGTGCAACACATTAAATCACAAAATACTAAGGTGCTTATGTTTGAAATACCTCTACATGTCTGATGTCTAACAAACATGGTTTTTATTATTATTATTTCTCTACAGATTTCGACATTTGCGCCTCAAACAAAGAAAACTGAGAGATTATGTCAGTGAGATGGTCGACCTCCCAAAGGTAAACGCCAGCTGGAACATTCAGTAACTGTTTTACATCAAAGATATAAGAAACAACGCATGTATCCGGTTTTCTTTATTTCTAATCAGGGTTCAGATGCTTTTTGAGAAAATTACATAAAACAGAGAACCATTAATGTGCAGTTTTATACAGTGCATTTGATTGAGTTACATGGAAAATAAGCTGAGAGTTAAACAGCCCACAAGTATGGAAACTCGTAATTCAGTCTGCAGCTGGCTGTTTAGCTCTATGGAAGAAATTCAGTGAAATCAGTTCACTGTAGCCTTTACTCACTGAAATCTGCTTAACATCATTCACTCTAAGTACAAAACCAGAGGAAAATACTAAAACTACCTCAGCAGCAAGACACACAAAGAAAACATTACAACCTGACTGCAAAAATAAGTAAATGGATCTCATTCAATTAAAATTTAACTGAAAGGGTGTTTCAGTAATTCAGTTAAAAGACATTAAAAGTCCTACATTATACAGACCCATTGCACACAGTTGTCTATTGCAAGCATGTTTTAGATGTTGTGGGCTTGAACTTCTGCTTCTGAAATGGATATTGTGGAAGATCAATGAAAGAAAGGAGAGTTTAATACAGTCATATCAGCTTACTGAAGAGCATGAATGCACCTTGTGGTATATAGTCGACCAGTATTTTGTATGAATCACTGCATCGGTGCATCTTGGCATGAAGGAGATCAGGATGTAGCTCAGCTGAGGTGTTAAGGAAGTCCAGGTCAGCTCAGCTCATCAGCATTGTTGAATCTGATGTTTCTTCTCCATGATCTGTGTGCTTTTCAGTCAAGCACTGTGATACCATAGCAATTAAACCAGCTATCGGTGCTTTTGGCAGAGTGGGCATGTGCCAAGTCTGGCTGGAAAACAAAATTAGCATCTCCATAAAACTTGTCAGCAGGGGGAACCATGAAGCACTCGGGTCCATGTCTTGGAGACGTCTGTGTGGTGGCGGTCTGTCACCACTCCAGCCGCATTGCAACGCTTCTTTGTTTCTCCCAAACTCTTAAATGGACTTTGCTTTGGAATTATTTTAAGGCTACAGTAATCCCTGCTGCTTTTGCACCTTTTTGTCCTAAACTTCTTCCTTCCACTGAACTATTTATTGACATGCTAAGATAAAAGCTCTCTGCAAATAGCAAGCTCCTTCAGCGATGATCTTTCATAGCTTACCGTCTGCTGGACATATTGCCAAGAGAGACTGTAATGTCAACATTTCTAAAAATTTAACTTGGGTTTTTAATCTAGCTTTAAGCCAAATGAACAGAAGCAAATACAGAAAATGTCTTATTCTGTGCAATCGACAGGATGTGAGGTTCACTTTTAAGGCTGAAATAAATCAACTTTTTTAAAATTCTAATTTAATGAGATGGGGATGCATTACTGTTTCCACATTTCATGTTACAACTCTCTTCCAAAATTAATTAAATCCATCCTACTCCCCTGCACTCATTGAAAATCCACATACTTCATTAGGTCAACGTGACATTTTTGCAAATATATTTAAAATTCTAAGCTCAGAAATCACATTCATCTGCATGACACTTTTGCAGCATTTACATTCTCTTGTCTTCTTGCATATGATCCTTCAGTTTTAGAGGCATAAGATTTTGAAAAAAAAAAATGTAATAATTAAAGTCTGGTGTTCATGCCAAAGAGTTACATTTTTGTCTTATCAGACCAGAAAGTTATTTCTTGTGGTCTGATAATCCTTCGCATGTCTGCTTGAAAAAGCAGCTGGACAGCCATGTGCGGTTTGCGAAGAAGTGGCTTTTGTCTGAACACTACAAAGACCGTCAGGTGGATTGATTTTTGGTCATTAAAACGTGAAACCAGACTGTGTTGGAGAAAAAGTTAGCATCTCCATAAAGGTTGTCGTAGTTCTTGTGCAACATATTTTCCGCCCACTCAGATTTCTATGAACATGCTTGAATACAGTGGCCAGTTGTCACTGGTCTATTTGCAACTCTCAAATTGTTAGTCTTCCCACTGAGTTTGTAGTAGTTCGATCATTGCTTACATGACTCATTCATCAATAAACGGGTGGATGTTCTTCAAAATACTGTAGAAGCAATTAAATAAAGTTTTAGAAACATCTAATTGCAAAAAAAAATCACGTTCTCTTTAGCTGGGGTTGAATTTACTCCATTTTGGATAAACAAAGTGTGGAGAGAGTGAAGCACTGACATTTTATGTCACAGTATTGTTCTTTTTGTTTCATTTATTTAAAAAAAAACAACAATAAAATATGTGTGTGTTTGCTTTGTACACTGTCTCCATCAGATGCAGATGATCATGTGTGACCTCAGCGCCAACTGGAACAACTCCTACCGAGAGCTGGAGCAGAGGATTCTCTTCATGGAGCAGAAGCTGGACGAGTTGACTCGCTGCTTCCAGCAGACTTCAGAGCTGCTATTTGAGGTCCTACGTCACAGAAACCCTGAGATCAGGTAAACAGCACTGACGGCAGCAGCCTGCTGCACAGATCTGCTGATAATACAGATGGCAGGATGTGGTAGCGGAGTTAAAGTAAAATGTTCCAGCGTTGATAGAAAGAAGAAAGTTTTTTTTCACTGCATTTCCATCTTTTGCAGGTGACATGGCTGCAAGCACTTTCTTTGCCCTACATGTCGGTGTCTGCTGCATTTCCGTCTGCAGGTCCTGGCTGTCCAGAGCTGCTGGAGAACGGTTTCAGTAAACATCTCATCCACTGGCTCAGCGTTGCACATGCCACTCAGTGACTCATTCTGTGAAGTTACAGATGACTTTACATTTTCAGAAAGTGGAACTGTCAAAGGCTTTTGGGAAGTCTGCTGTGCAGTGAGACAAAGAACTGATCTAAAAGAACTGTAGATTACATTATGTTATCAAAGTTTGTCTAAACTGACTTTTTTATGAATAATTATTACCACATTATTCCTGTGGAATTTGAGATGATTTTAGTTCTGTTTTATTTTTTTTGAGGTGATTTCTATATAATTCTCTCTAGGTTTTAGGAAAACCTCAAATTGCTTTTCTTTATTGTTGTTTAATGATTATTTCAGTGCTTTCTGTTTGCAAACACTTAAATTTTGACATCATTTCTAACAAGTGCTAAGGTCTTATTATTTTTACTCCTGAGCCATTGTTCTAAAATATGGATTCCAGAACACAAAATGCAAGATTAATCACCAAGACTTAAGAGAATTTATTTTTGACATAAATCAGTGGGAACATAAAAAAAATGAGTAGCCACATGTAATACTTTTATCTGATGAGAAGCTTGGCTTAGAACTGCCTGAGTAACTCGATAGCTCCATCTAGTGGTCAAGTGTTAAGTAAGCAACCTGTTTATTCCAGTTGAACTTCAAAATGACTACAGGTCAGCTTGTTCCTTCACAAATGTTTTTCCTAAAAACTTTTTCCTAAAAAAAAAAAAACCAAAACAAAAAAAAACTTGATTTGGAGGCTTATTATTTTTTCTAACAATTTTGAAACAACAAAGCACAAAAGTTGCCTTATAATCCAACAGTACATTGTTATTTCACTTCTTTGTCATTTGGAGAAAGTTGAATCATTTCTCTTTCAAAACCTACAAAACAGATGTATGAAGTCTGGACTAATTTATGCTACGTAAAATAAAGATTTTCTAGACTGTACTTTTTTTTTAAAGTCATAGTACTAAATATTAGATTAGAGATCATTATGATTTGCTAATACACTTCACAAGTTATCCAATATGGTAGCTACCTGAAAACTAATTTGTATTTATACAAAACCAAAACAATTATCAACCTGCTTTTCTTCAGTATTAATTCTTATTAAAGGATAAACCGGATGTGTTACTGAAATACTTAAATACAAAAAATTAAAACAAAAAATAAATGATTAAGTGTTTTACTGGGGAACTTGATTTAACTCAGTACTTTGAACTATTTGGAGTGAAGAAAAGTAAATAAAAACCATGCTGCATTTTTCCTCATGCATAAATCCATTAAACAAGTGTAAATATTAGACAAAGACAACAGAAGAAACAGAAAATGTGGAGTTTAAAGAGTTTTTATTATGAACAGGAAACAAAATCCAAACCTACGTGGAATAGTGTTTGAAAGTGAGAACAGTAGAGAAATCAGGCTCATATTTAAGTTCTGTGGCCTTTAGATTTTATATTCTAAATTTGGAGAAGGAAATGAACAAAAACGTATTCAGTATTTTCAATGGAAAATCTAAAAGACAAACTGTTATTTGTATTCAAGATTTTGCATCTTCATTTGAAAATCAAAAAATGTTATAGGTTTTTGGTTTTTCATCACTGGTTTCCAATTATACCAAAACATGCACTGACACAGCACTTCTTCAAAGGTTTTTCCTTTTAGTTCTGTTTTTAAGTTGGTGCCATATGTAGGCCGAAGGCCTTAAAAACACCAGTCCACAGTCACACATCAAGGGCATCCTGCACTTTTTATTCTCACTTTCCTTCACTGTCCGTCCACGTTGATTTCCTCTCCATGATTTCCCGTTTATGTGGCGCGTTAGAAGTTTTGCTCCAGAGAAAGTGTCACCGCAGCCGACGCAGATGTAGCTCAAGGCCTCAGCGTGCTGAACGCAGTGTCGCAGGAGGTGCAGCTGGTGCCTGAATGCGCGGCCACACTGGCAGAGGTAGGAGCGCTGGCCTCGATGGAGGTAGCGGTGGCTGATGGCGAAGGAAGGTTGCCGGAAGACGGCGCCACACTGCCTGCAGCGGCAAGGCGTTTTTCGAGCGCCATCCTGTGTTCATCCGCTTCATCAGAGCCCACTCTTGGCTCTCGTTCTCAAACAGGGCTAGAATGGAGAGTGTAGAAGAAGCTACTGCCTCAGAGCCTGAGTGTCTGGGGTTGGGGTGGCGGGATCTACATGAGCCTGACCAACACATAGATTCCTCTTAGCAGCCTGGGTTTGGACGCTTGTGGCTCCTGCCAGCAAAGATGAATCAGCAACGATGTACTGTTTGGTGCTGATTTCAGATGAGTGAACGTTGGTCAGATGGATTGACAAAGCTTTATCAGATGAGAAAAAGGACTTGCATATTTTGCATGCTTTCGGCATCGACTCGGAGCAGAAGAGTACCAACGTGGATTTGACTCCTCTGGGACACGGGTGGCGGCTGAATGAGTTCTTAGTGGGGAGAACCTGACCACAGCTGTGACACAAATACAGAGGCATGTGATGTTCCTGTAGAGCATCCTCAGTAAAAAAGTAGTGCTTGCACAAAAAACACACTGGAACTTGTCCTTCACCCCACGGCAGTAAAGCAAATGGCGCTTCACCGACCTGAAAGGTCCCCGACCACACTTGCTGCAGGTTCTCCATTTTTGATGGGGGGAGGTAGAGCAGTTTCCTCGGAATCAGAGTTTTCAGAGGTTTCACAAGAATCAGATGTCTTCTCATCAGAGTCACTTTGGGTGACAGTCTCATCATCCTCACCGACTTCATATTCCACAGTGTATTCAGACGCCTTGCGATACATCTCCAACATTTGATAAGTTTGATGCTGAGCAATAGCGATCAGATTTTGTGCTTTGTTGCACAATGATGACTAGAAATTCTCCAACATAAGAGAACACAATTTAGAAATGAGAAAAAGACTGCAGTGTGGCTCTTTGCATGCCCCAAAAGTTTTCAGTAGGTAGAAAAAGACTGATGGGACAACAGTCATATGGCTGCATTATCCAGCGGCAAGTTGTGTGAGTCTTCAAGCAATGAAAAAATTTCTCCAGATCTGGCAGACGATTTGGATTTTGCAGTTCTGAAAGTGCAACATCAAGCTGCAGGTTTGTTTAGCCACACGCCAAACATTTGGTGTCTGAGTATTCACGATTCACCTGCGATTATGTAGATTTACTCTCTGCTCATCAGTGGCATCAGACACAAGCAGCTGCCCAGGCCAGCCTCTGGCCCCCTGGAAATTAAGCAGAGAAGATTTCATCAGTTCTAATTGTAATTTGAACTTGTCTAGCTTGTCTAGTACCTCAAAAATTACATGATTGAAAAATTATTTTATCTAAGCAATACAATTTAAAAAAATATTTTACAGATTTATTGCACATAGAACAATATATTTCAACTATTTCTGTTAATTTCAATGAAGTAAAATTAAAAACCAAATTTATATTTTTAAAAATGTGCACACAACTATGGAAGAGTGCTATTATGACAATCTCTTAACAAGTTTGTGAAAGACATCCAGCCACCTGTGACTGGCAGCCTTAGGAAGGATGGTAAAGTTATTGCTAAAGAGTCTGATTATTCACAGGTGCTGTATCCAAGCACAAATAACATGAATGTTAAAGTTTTTGCAAACAAAATGATCCTTCAGCGTTAGGGCCATTTCATCTAAAGCTTTATAAAGATGCTGATTTTTGTTTCTCAACAGTACTTGGTGCATGCTCACACCCCTAAAAGTACAAAGTTTTTAAAAACCAGGGAATTGCAGTGCATGATTGGGCAAACTTACGTTACCTAGGAGGAAGATGAAAGTCATCAGACAAGCTAAAAGCTGCTATTAAAGCAACCTGAAAAGCCATGCAACATTGATACAGTAAGTACAGTAAAATTAGACCAGAACATGTATTATTTGATTATAATGTATATACATATATATGTTTTAAGAAATGTATTATTAGTCTTACATAATATTACAATTTTCTGCCAAAATGGTTTTGGTTTCATTTGTTGTAAATAATTATCTAAATGAACAGGAGTAAATGGTTTAAATATATCACTGTTTTTGTAATATACATGCTTTGGTTATAATTTTTCTTAATTTTGCTAAATGGCATTTGAACACGTCTCCCTCTCTGGCTTTCTTAATATGCAATATGTAAGAGTACATTATGAATCTAATTGTATCCCATTATATAGAACAGTTTCGTTCATGCCCAAGCTAAGTTAGGTTTAAACATTAAAAGTTACCATTTACTAGTTAACTTTTCCTGTGTGTAACCCCTCACAGCGTCCACTTTACATTGATTTTTCACACTTTCTGTCCACATGCTATCAAAGGGATACACCTTCGCTCCTAAGAATCTGATATCTGGTATTTATCAATTTACAAATTATTAAATAATCCCAAAAAGACCAACACGTACAATGTCAACACTAATTGTCCCCGATTTTCCCTCAGGCGCCTGTAAATACTGAACCGAATGTTCAAAAGTATTTCTAGCCTGTAAATACTGAACCGAATGTTCAAAAGTATTTCTAGCCTGTAAATACTGAACCGAATGCTCAAAAGTATTTCTAGTCCCCACAAAGTTGTGGTGTAAATCCGCAGTATGTCTAACTACCTGCGCAGGTACTGTGTACTTACCAACGGTTTTCTCTTGGTCAAGGGTGAGCACAGAAAATATAATTCCTCCCATGAGGTAGATTTGAACGACAAACATTTCACACTTTGAAAAAGACGTTTTTGGCGTGCGTCAGAAACTGTGGTTTAAGTAATATTATAAGCATTGAACCTCACATAAAACGGATAATAAATATGTAGTTTAAAAAAAAAACTCTGACATTTTCAAACTGGGGGGAATTTTTTGATGGCGTCCGAGAACATACCGGTTCCACCCACATCCTGTTTAGACCGGAAGAGGAGATCGTACAACTATCACAATGCATAATTATGCTCAGATTAGCGTTTCTACTTGAAATCTGACTTGACAAT